CACCGGAATTTCATCCTAAATGATTATGGCTGTAAAGTCAGTCAGCAGACTAAAGACATGTCGTGTTTCTTCTTTTACACACACACACACACACACACACACACTCACACACACACACACACACACACACACACAGGTTTATGCTCATATGTTACACACAAGGGCGATTTTCAAAGTTGAACTGTTTGCCATGTCAACACGTTTGCCTTCTTCGTGTAGTCACTGTCAACACTTCTTTAAGGTTGACTTGTCTCTCCGTTATTTCAAACAATTCACTCACTTCCTGCATGGCTGTACGTGTCTTTGCAACTTGACTCCACGCGCACTCTCAAACTTTGACTTCATCCGCGTGTGTGCGTGCGCTTTTGCGTGTGCGTGCGCATCAGTTTTTGTGCGTGTGTGTGTGTGTGTGTGATGTCTTTGTGTGTTTTATGAAAATGTTTTAAGAGGAGGTGGTTTGCAAGAGTGTGCCCACGCAGCATAAGTTTTTTTTCCACCTCGCCAAGCATTCCCAAACTGTTTTAATGGTTCCAAAGTTTTTCTTGTCACCATGAAATTTTGAACATGCTAAAAATGTCTTTGCGACATGAATAACGGAGACAATTAAAATTGTTGGCAAACGTCTTTGCGACCATTGGCAACCTTGAACCAACTCTGACAAATAAAGAAAAAAAAAACAACAACAACAACATTTGCTGGAGTCCAAATGAGTGCCGAACAATTTCGAGTGTTTTTCGAATGGGGCAAATGCTGAATTCACGTCAGAATGCATCAGGGTTCGTTCAATGCCACAATTGTTTGCAAAATGCTTATAAACTGTTTTTATGATTTTTCGTGTCATGTGAAATTTTTGACCATCTTGCAACAAGAAAAGTTACAGGGCAACATCTGACGACCGTATGGCGAACGTTTGCGATCTTGAACAACTGAAGTTAACACGCAACGCATTTTTCTACCTTGGCTAATACTGCAGTAGGAAATGTTCGCCCGTCAGTGAGCTCGGGTCTTAAATGGCCACGGATTTGCAGACCTTCCTGTTCAGTGAGATGCGACCTTTAGTGTGCGCGTGTGCGAGTATGACGTCAGAAAAAGCAAGTCATCAGGGAGAAAATGAAAGTCAGAAGTCATTTAATGCAATCAACCCACGTGACGTCCTGTTGGAAGATGCAAATTAGATTGGAGCGCGCAGACAAAGCATCTGAGACTTTAACCACGTCCGACCATCCATCAGTTCAAAAATAAAGTGTTGAGGAGGTGATGATCACGAAGAATGGCCGGTAGACTCGTGCAATTATAAGACTCGTTCAGATGATCACTTCAGGGATATTTATTCTCTTGGGTTAGAACAACTCGGCAGCACGGCGTAATACGAGCCGTGGCCATGAGTATCGCGTCAGCGAACCAGGAAGGCGGAAGTGAGCTCACATACACATCCGGCATGTCCCTTCAGAACAAAAGCAATGAGCAAGAGCGCTACACATAACATAAATCCTCAACAATTATATTCCTTTTTGTTGTAGTTTCCTAAATTATATTCTGTTTAATAATTGTTGAAACATTCTTGTGTTGCTTGCGTCTGATTGGCTGAAGAGAATCAGGAAGTGTTTTCGTTTCCGGAAAGAGGTGTGTTTTCGTTCGTTCGCTCGGAGGTGCAGACGTTGGAAAAAAAACTGCATCAAAAGGATTCCATCTCTCTTTTTTGCCCATTCGTCAAGTTGAGCTTTTGTTAAGGTTGTATGATTGCCTTTTTACAACTGAGCCAGTAGAGGGCAATATAACTCTACTCCACACTTGTTCGTGGTGCATGACGGAGTCAGCCGTATAAAAGTGGCCCTGCTCTTTTGCATTTTTCTTTTTCTCTCTCTGCCTGTTCAAATAAAGACGCCGATGTATGGCTGAAGAAAACACCTCCTCGTGTCATTCTTGGGATGTTGGACAAAAGTATGTCAGTCTGAAGGAACCCTGCGAACAGCTACCCACTCAAAACCTACGAACCCCTCAACTTACACAGGGGCATTTACATGAAAAATTGTGAGAAAATGTCCATGTTCACCCTTTCATCCAGTCAGAAAGTGATCCTTTATCTTTTATTAGTTAGTTGGTTGAGTTTATCGTTGTTGATTGAACATATAAACGTGGACGGTCATAAAATTGCCAGGAAGTAAAGGTGAATCAAATTGTAAAAAAAGCAAAAGAAAACAGTCATCAAATAGCACAATTATGTGTTGCTGTGTTATCCACTCATCCCTTTTTATCATCCGCTTTTCCTCACAAGTACCGCGCCACAAAGAGGGTTTCGGCACAAGCGCATGCAAAAAAAAAAAAAAAAAAAAAGATCATCAAGTCACCCCCCCTCATCCCCAATTCCCCCACACGAATGCTGGTTATCTTCAGCTTCCTAAAATGATGGCCTCATCAGTCAGAAATAAAAGTCAGGAGCATTTTCGTTCGACACTTCAGCATGGAAGCACCTACACTACGACCGACACAAATGAACAAACGTTTGTCGCTGCGAGTGTATCAACGTCGCAATCAGCAGATGACAAGATAAAAAGATGCCTTTTTTTTTTAATTGAGAAGACTTGAGGTTGAACTTCTAATCTTTATCAAAGCCAAAGAACAAGTCAAAATCACCCGTGTTGACTGTTTTTGTTTTATTTAACAGAATAAGAGGGGATGGGGGAGAAAGAAGCAGATTTATACTCCTCGAGGCTGTTTGAAGTTCATGCCGATCGTTTGCTGCGTCACCTGAAGGTTGGACAGACCGCCAAAGTCCTGATGTCACACACACACACACACACACACACGCACACACACACACACACACACACACACACACACACACACACACACACACACACAGTTAGACGGCGACGCGGGAGAGGACAGGAAGTGATGTGTGCCGGCACCAGGGTCTGACAGGAAACGGTGGTCCAGCAGACACGGGAATAGCCGGCAACAATTTGCTGTTCCTGTACTATCGATGGCGAAGGCGACAACTGTGCGCTGACGCCACTTTCGATACAGGAAGCGATGTGACGCAACAAGGTTTGGACTCACCAGCAGCTTGAGCATTTCCTTGGTGTCGGGGTCCACCTCGATCAGCTCCTGATCCAGAGCGGACACCTACGAGCAGACGCGAGAACACGTTAACAATACGCCTCCAATTGCCCCCAAAGTGCTTTTCTTTTTCATCAGACAAGCAACTTGCACGTTTTATGACTTGATTCGTGTCCGTGAGCACCAGGGTCTGACAGGAACCGGCAGTCCAGCAGACACGGGAAAGGCTCACAACTTCCTTTTCCTGTACTATCTATGACGCGGGCGACAAGCACGCCGACGGCACTTTCGATACAGGGCAACCAGCCGCGCGCCCGCGGAACGTCAAACATTTGCGTTTGGGAATCAATCCAACGAGGCCAAATTGGTCCGAGCATCAATATAAGCAAACACTTAGCTTAGCACGCTAGCCGCGCTGGAACGTGGCGACGGCCAAACGAAGCTTTTGAGCTCAGAGTGAATATCCGTGTCGACGTGTGAGTCGAATGGAGAAAAATGACATGGCCCACACAGCGGGTCGTGAAATCACGATGCGCCTTGACAAGGCGACTAATCATTCAAGTAAGGCGACGGCGGACGGCTCGACTGACCTCGGGCACGTAGTTGTCGCGCCGCTCGCGTTCCTCCTCCTGCAGCTTGATGGAGATTCCTCGCACGGGACCTCTCTGGATGCGCTTCATCAGATGCGTCACGTAGCTGGCGCACAAATACAAAGTGTCACGAGCTGGAGTACATTGGGGGCCCGAGGAGAGAAAGCCCACAAAGACGACAAATGAGGTCGCTAGAAGTCAAGATGTGGGAGGGCGCCAGGGTCCGGCTGGAATGGTCGTCCAGCGGACACGGGAAAGGCCCTCCGCATGCTTTTCCTGTACTATCGATGATCGGGCCACTATCAAGCCGAGGTCACTTTCGATACAGGGCGCCGATGTCAAAGGACAAACTCACCCGGCAATCTTGTTGCGGAGCTTCTTGCTGGGAATGATGGCAATCTCCTCGCACACCCGCTTGTTGGTGTGGAAATCATTGCCCAGCCGGGTGTAATACTTCTCAATGATCACCCGGGCCGCCTTCTTCACAGTCTTGGTCCTGACTCGCCCCTGAACGCCACACGTACATCAACACGTCACACATACACACACACACACACACGTTAGTCCACCACCCCCACCCAGAAAGAAAACAATTTTGTAGGAGCGACAGTGTTCGCACTCATTTCTCATTCACAGCTTCCAAGTCGCAATACAAGAGTGGCTTGTCAGAACGGAATTTGTTCCGTGACCAAGCTGTCCAAGATGCTCCCCAATTTGGAACTGAAATCAACATTCACTTGAGAGAACGGGCTTCAATGTATCTTAGATTGGACTGAACGAGTGTCCGCTTCAGAGCAAAAACAAGAGAACGACTCGTATCCCGGCATGCACAGCGTTAGCACAAGCAGCTAACTTAGCTTCAGCTAAGCCAGACACTGCGGAACTGAGGCTGACGGTTGGAAAGGGCAGGCCTGCACGTCAAAGAGACGCGCGTGTGGTTTATTTTAGTTTACTTAAAAAACGGGACAAAAAATAAATAAAAGACGCGATTCGGCGCTTCATTGAGCGTCTCTCCACCTCCAACATTAGCGACGAGCGTCCTTCCCCCACAATGTCGCAAATTTAACAATATCCTCTGCAAATAAGAGCAAAACTGTATCGCAAAATGTGCAATACCCTCACAGATAATCAAACCGCGGCGCTCCCACGCAGTTTTATGGCAGGATTACATTGGATATCTTAGCAAGGTAAGTGACAAACACCCACCATGTTGGTTCGGCCTGGTAGAAGAGGACACGTCACTTCCGGTAAGAGTTTATATCCGCAAACGGATGTTGGAACAAGGTGGTGAATTGCTGATGCTGCGCCACCTTCGGTAGGAGACCACAATGACAACTGGGAAGAAAAAAAAAAAAAAAAAAAAAAACAACACAAACTGTCACGTGACAGCCAACATGGCCGCCACACTGTCAAGCGAACATTTCGACAATTTGCAGCTTCTTCTCAAGGTTTTTTTCCGAAAATAATTTGTACCAACGCTGAATACTAATGAAGTTGTTTTATTCGCGTGATTAGCCTGCTAGTTGCGGTTAGCTTTGATCCTAAAACGGGACGAATCAAACAGTGATTAAGGTTGCCTACCTTTGTTTGACTTCAATGTATTCCCGATCTACGACCAACTTATTTATAAAGATGTTTGTTGGTTGATAGTAAGAAACAAAACCAATTCGTTCAATGTAACCTCGAGTAGATAGGATTCATAAATGATACTCATGAATGTGGAGCTGCTAGAGTGACCGGGTGGCAAACCAAACACATGCGCCTCACAGTTGTGGGGAGTTGGCGTGTTCTGCTTGGAGTCATTGAAGAACAACAGCAACTTTTACAATGCGCGTGTATAGTAAATCGTTTTGTTAAAAGAAACGTGTAATTGCTTTTATTTGGCGTTGCTACTGTCTGCTGTATGCAGTGACTGAGTTGTCATTTGCATTATCTGGAGGCATAAAGACTTCAAGGCTGAGATGATCTCACATATATAAATATAGATATATAGCTAGCGTAAGTGTGTGTGTGTGTGTGTGTGTGTGTGTGCGTGCGTGCGTGCGTGCGTGCTTTCAGGCTCCGTCCAAAGAATTTGTGAAGGAAATGTGTATGCAGAGTCACGGAGGTCTTAGTGTTCGTCTGACTCAGAACGCCGCGACTGCGCTCGCCATTCCTGAAGCTCAGGCAGCTCAGGTACTGGAACATCCATAACTCATTCACTGCCTGTGTTTTTTTCGTCATACAATTGTCAAAACTACCAAAACAGAGTGTACTCCCTTCTTTCACTGGGGATTTATTATTTTATTTTATTTTTCAAAATAATCTTTTCGTGTGTTGTAATCAGCCATAGCACATAGCTGGCTATTGGGCAAAGAGGTTTTTGTGGACAGAAACAAGGTTTTGATGATCGTAATTGTTTGGCTTTCGGACACCTTAAACTTTAAAACAACAAAAGCAAGACAGAGAGCGGTGTGATGATGGCAAAATAGTCATACTGATAAGCCACTCATCTTTATCTTCATCTCAAAAGTTGTGCTCAGCTCAAATCCAAAGTGATGCAACGGCGCCCTCTACAGGGATGTGTTAGCTGTGAGTTATATAAACGCTGAAATTTGCCTCAAGTTGAGCACAACGGACTTGATGAACACATTGTTAAACGGCGCGTCCGTTTGGATTTTGCGCTCACTTGTGTGTTTTCAGCTGGGCCGCTCGCTGCGCACGCTGTCGACTCACGTCGTCTTCCACAACCTGAGCTCAACCGAGGAGGTCATCCAAATTTTCCCCGAGAGCTTCCACTCCAGTCTGAAGAACCTACTTACCAAGATCCTGCTGGACAACAGGTGGGCTCCTCAGGCCCCGCCCACAGACTTCTCAGATCAATGGCCACACCCATCCGAGGCCACATCTTCTTTTTCACCTGCGGTCAGCATGGTGGTGATGTCGTACTTGTGCTTGTGGTGTGTTACAGCAACGCGTGGAAAACGGATGCTGTCGGGAGTCAGAGTGAGTCTATAACCCCCCTAGTTTATTTGTGTCTATGTGTGTGGGCGCGGGGGGGGGGGGCAGTTTTGAGCGTCAAGTCGCATCAGGTCCAGTGGCTATTTCCCAAAAGGGTAGGAGAAAAGTTGTGACGAGATCCCACTTTTTCATTTGACATTTTTAGAAAGTTGGACACTATTTTATACCGATTAAAAAAAAAAAAAAAAAATCGAAAGTTGGAATGAGGCTGCAACACTGACGCGAGTTTCATGAGACACCTCTCAGGGTTTTGCGTTGTTAGCATTTGTGTGTGTCTGTGTGCGTCTGCGTGCGTAGTCTCGCTGCCACAGCTGAAGGCCGTGGACTGGCGGGTGGACTTGGTGAGCAGCTCGGATGCCCTCAGTCGGATGTGTGTCCCCACGTGTTTGGTCCACCTCAAGGTTTGTTTGCGCCCCCCCCCCCCACACACACACACACACAGTACTTACGAGTGTGTGCATGTGTGTGGTGGATTGACAGACAGAGGATGTTGGAGGCGAGGATTGTGTTTCTGGGGCGACTGTGGAGCTGAGCAGGGAGAGTCTGGACACCATGTTGGACGGACTGGGCCGCATCCGGGACCAACTGTCGGTGGTCGCTGGGAAATGATTTTGAACGCATTTTTAATCATCTGCAATGACGCGAGGATGCATTTTGTAACATCCGCCACTCAAATACGATAGGTGGTGTTTCTACGTCTGGCTGCTTGTTGCCAGGCAGATTCCATCCTAACTGCCACACTAGCCCCGCCCACTCGACCTGGCCCTCCCGATTTCTGGCACGCGGTCAACAGGTAGTTGAATCCAGCTCAGAACGCAAACGTTGTTGTCGCACATGGGCAAGGCGAAGTCGCCCTCGTGTGGGCGTGGCTAAAATCGCCTCAGAACAGAAATCACGGTGCAGATTTTCTTCCACAACTGGCCGGAAAGGCTCCTCACCCATTAAAGAGCTCAACAGACAACATGCAGTCTTCTGTTACTTATTGCTCGCAGAGCCGGCACAAGCGACAAAAGAATCGGCAGAGCTTCTCGCTGAAATTTTCAGTTTAGTATGTGCAGGTAGCCTGGAGACCGGGGATGGGCCCACATGGTAACCAGATATACAGCATCACACACAAAAATGCCATCTTAATCAACATTTTATTCATCAGACACTTCATAATTCATGTATAAAAGACTGTGACCCAGCGGCACAGGGATCACATAACATAAATATGAGCATTAAAGGATGGCATAAAACTGCGGTAGACACACACACATGCACACATTGTAGAAAAGAATCAGAACTCAGTATAGCATGTAAAATATTCATTTAACTACAACTTGCTTCAAGCATGATTATGTTCTGGACTGTATTCAATTCATAAAGTACTTTTATGGGGGGGTGCACAGGAGTGTGTGTGTGTGTGCGCGTGTTTACACTGGCTGGAGGACTGTGAGGCCGTCCGAGTCCAGTTGCACAGTGTGGACGCTGAAATCTCCTAGACCCTAAAAAGCACACGGAATATGGTCACCACGGCAACAGTGCCGCTTCCCGACGGCGGCAACCTTCCGTCACTTACCGGCGTGTTTGCGAGGACGCGAACAACCTCGTCTTTGTGGTCGGGCTGGTGGGTGAGCAGGCAGAGGAAGCCGCCGCCCCCGGCGCCCGCCAGGCTCTGACCCAGGACCAGTGGGCTCAGCGCCTCCATCATCACCCGCACCGACGCCGGCTCGCAGCCCGGCGCCATCCTCTTCTTGTGTTGCCATGAACGATCCAGACAGAGGCCCAGCGACAACAAGCAACCTGGCGGGTGGGGCGACGCCAATCTTGAAATAGCTGCGTGCACACAATTCTAGACTCGGGACACAAAACAGGTGCGGTGTTGATGGATCTCACCATCAAGACAGGCTCGGGCACAGTCCTCGCCGTTGGTCACCAGCTCGTCAGCGTTGTGAACCATCACAGGAAGACGAGCGTACCAGTTGCGCACCACGTCCTGCGCACGGGCACACACAAGCGTGGGTCACAACTCGTTATTGAGCGCGCGCGCGCCGTTTGTATCACCTGCAGCAGGTTGCGAGCCAGTCTGGTCTTCCCGGTGTAGACCAGCAGGAGGCGCCGCTCCAGAGCCTCCGCAAAGCCGTCGGGCGGTTGCAGGCGTTCCACGTGCACCTGCAGCGGCAGACGCGCTTGGGAGCGGCCCACCTTAAGACCGCCCTCCAGACCTCCCACCTGGTCCTGCCAGCCCCCGCCTGGCGAGAGATGGAGAGACGCCGTAGGATGCGGTGCGACGCGACGAGACAAGATTTGCGCAAACCTGTGGTGAGGACTTGTTCCAGGTGCAGTACAGCGTGGACGAGTGCGTCCCTGCTGTAGGACCGCCCTGTGGCGCCGTAGACCGCTGCCAGCAGCGCCCCCGCCAGGATGCTGCTGGTACCTGTGGGTCGAGATAGCGCGCCGTCAAGCCGCGCTTCGCCGGCGGCTCGCCGTGTTCTCTTGCAAAGTGTCTCTCACCGAGTCCTGAGCCGGTGGGCAGCGCAGACCAGCCGTGAAGCTCCAAACCGCCGCTCCAGCGAGCCGTCAACTGATGGGCCAAAGGATCCTGGGAGGTTGGCGACGCCACTCCGGCGCATACGCACACCGCCTTCAGCAAAGCACCTGACGTACGCTCGCCGTTACCATGACTACATTGTAACAAGGCAATTTCACACACACACACACACACACACGGCGGTGATCGTGGCAACAAGCTAACATCAGACATCTGAACGCCACGGTAACAAGACAACTTCACATGCATGCAAGAAGACCTGGTCACCATGGTAACAAGGAGGCATGAGACACTCAGAACAGGAAGTAAGTCGGTACCGGGTGCGTTGGGCTGGCAGTAGTCCTGAAGGTGGTCCACGGTCTCACACACCGTCTCCGCGGCGACGTCGGAGTCCCGCCCTCCACTGTGGCTGACCAATAAAAGGAGGGGCCGCCGGATGCGGCGCGCTCGGGCGCCAATAGGTCGCCGCCCGTCAATCCTCACCGCCACGTTGGTCACGCAGCCGCCGCGTTCAAAGGCCAAGGGCGGCGTGTCGCTCCAGCCGCCTGCAAAGTAAACGCCAAGTTCGTCACCTGATTCATACGTCATTACTGTTATGTTTTTATACATGGATTATTAATTGTTACTATTTATTTCTTTGTATTGATTGTTTGCGGTGTGATCAAGTCCTTAATCACCAGCAAGGTCAATTCTGGCGGGACACTCCACTTCGTGCCACTGCCCGATCGGAGGGAGTTCCCCCTGCCCAGTGGCCACAAACTTCTGCGATGACATCACAGCCCGGCGGAGCAGCACCTGGGCAGCACCTTCGTAGTGCCGCGCCGCTCGCACCAGCAAGTCCGGCCTGTGGGTGGTGAAATATGTTGGTCAAACATCAAACAACACACCATGCAAAATGTAACCGAATTGAGCACGGACGTATTTCTAAACTTGCAAAAAACTGCTACTTTTGCACAAGCGGCGCAGCAACACGTGCAAACAGAACAACGACAACGTGAACACACACAGGCCATTCTCACCTGCTCAGCCAATCAGCTCGCTGCGCCGCCAGGGCCTCGACTCCGCCCTTCAGCTCTCCCTTTTCCAACAGGGCGTAAGCGGCCCTCCAGTTCTCGTTGGCAGCCGGCCCGCTCCTCAGCCCTCCGCCGCCCTCCGCCTCGGCCCAGGACGTCAACACGTCTGCGATGCACGACAAGCAGCGGGCGGACACACCCAGCTGGGCTCCAGGCTCCGCCCGCTCACTGACTGACACTTTGTTATGAAAAGATTTTGCACAAAAACTATTTTCTTCATGCGCGTGAATGGAGAAATGTCTCAAGCAATACACAAACAGAAAAGTGGTCATTACTTCGAGGTCCCACGGCACAATTTTCCGACAATGACTGATGGCTTTGTCTTGGGTTTGCAAGATCATTTGGGTTGGAGATACAAAAATCCTCGTGCACGTGACAGACTTTGCAGAATGGTGGCCGTCCAATATGGGACACTGTGGGATACGATGAGACAAAACGGGACACGAGGAACTAACCGTGGACATCGCCATCATCATGTGAGTCCTTGCGTTGAGGCTCCTCCCCCTGCTCAGCTGCACTTCCTGCTGCGACTGACAGACGACACTTCCCATCAATACGTTTCCCATCAGCAACAAAAGCACAGACTGGCGACTCACTGTTGTCCAGCATGTCGAGCAGCGCCCCCTGCTGCCCTCCCGCCACGGCGGCTCTGAAGCTGGGCAGCAAGCAGACGTCACTCTGCCCTATTAGGGCATCTTTGGTCCTCTTCCTGCCCGCCAGGAACAGCAACGTTTCCCTCCAGCGGAGCTCCGCCTCCTGGTGCGTCAGCAACAGGACTTCCTTCAGGGAAAGTCGCCAAGCCTTCCGCCAGCGCTGCGCGCAGCCGGCTCCGCCCAGCAGCCAGCCCACGCCCCCCGCCAGGCCCACGCCGCCCTCTGAGGGGTGCAGGAACGGGAAGAGTCGCGCCTCCAGCAGGCAGCGCCGTCCTCCCGCCTCCCACAGGTCCTCTGGCCTGACACACGATGACGTCACTTCCCGTTCCGTACTCGGAGGACGAATGTCTGACAGTGAGGTCCTACTGTATGCCGGTCCTGCTGAAGAAGAGGTGCCAGGGGATGTTGACGAAGGACGCGCCTTGGGCATCGCAGCGCAGCTGAGGACAGACATCGGGACATGACAAGGGAAATGACGGGACACGTTGCAGAGACTTCCTAAGTGACGTGATGGGACAAAAGAGGAGACACTGGAAGGAAACACTGCGTGAGAAATGATAAATGGACATCATTTGGGTGGTGTTGAGGCAAAGTGGGGCACCACGGGAAATGACAGCGATGTAAATAAGTGCAACAGTGGACAGTCTGGGATGCGGAGGAGATGGGAAGAGATAATGGAGGACATCATGAGACATAATAAAATGCAGTGGGACGATAGCGGACATGATAAAACAAAATAGAAGCTCTTTTAGAACACGATGGGACATGACACGACATCATAGCTTATGATGAGACCAATGACATAACACATTGAAACATAATGGCATGTAAATGGACATGTTGGGATGTGAGAGGACATACTAAGGGACACTGTGGACATAATTGGACCTCAAGGGAGACACAGTATTAGGGGACACAATCGAGGAAACTGAAAGAGCAAAATAGAAGCTCTTATAGAACACGATGGGACATGACAAGACATCATAGCTCATGATGAGACCGACAGTATAGACTGAAACATAATGGCATGTAAATGGACATGTTGGGATGTGAGAGGACATACTAAGGGACACTGTGGACATAATTGGACCTCAAGGGAGACACAGTATTAGGGGACACAATCGAGGAAACTGAAAGATATGAGCAGGCAAATTATGGGATGGTTGACGGTGCATAACACGGCGGGACATGCTGAAACTCGATGGGTTGTGAGGGACATAAAAGGGACGTGAAAGGAAAGGACGGGCCGCGGCGTGACAGCTTCCGGTGTGAGTTGAGAGTCTCTTTGTGTACCTCCAGATCGTCCAGTCCTCCCATCACGGTGTAGACCTTCAGCTTCAGGTCGCCCAGCTTGATACGATGTCCCTGAATGATGATGTCATGATCCAGCGGCAGACGTGCAATGTCGGGGGACGTGGACGCCTCCAGGCCTGACAGTAAACAACCAAAGGGGACGCGCAGGGGACCCTGGTGGACGGAGCCCATGTCATCGTGATTCGGAAGGAGGGATCGAGTGAACGCTTACAAACACGGCCAGCGAGCGTCTGACCTGTAGGTGGCAGTGTTGCACCACGGCCCCGGTCGCCACAATAACCTCTCCCTCCAGAACGCTGTTGATGATTCGCCCCCCGTCACTGACGCCACTGACTACCTGTAGAAGGGGAGACCACCAAATGGCATGAGATCCTTCGAGGACCGGGCGGCAGACACGTTTGAAGACGTCACCTGAATATGGGAGAGGGCGTGGCCCTGGGTGGGGTCCAGCGTCAGACGGAGGATGTGCTCCTTCCCGGACAGAGTCATGTAGTCATAGCTCCCATCGGGGACGTACGCTGGGGACGGGAAAGAAGAGGACGCGTGAAGGTCAAAACGAGTCCCCGATGTGGTGGAGACGCATCAAAGACTCACCCAGGCTGAGCGCCGTTCCTCTCAGGATCCGCCACAGCTCTTTCCTGCCGCGCTGCAACATCGCCGCCCGAGGTCCAGACGCGGGAGCGCCGCCGCCTACAAACTCATCCTCCGTCAGATCCGAACACAAACACTTGAGCACATCCAGGAACAGGGACAGCTGCATAAACGGGCGGACAAACACACATGCACACACATCTCATTTGAACAAAATAGTGCTTTGGTGCCATATTGTGAGGTTGTGGTGTCAAGGAGCTATGTTAAAGTGAGTTGAGGAGCGCCATTTATCGAAAGTTTGACCTTTGCCATCGTATAATGCAAACTCTAGGGAATTGAAATGCATTTTGGGGGGCTGGGGCAGTTCTGATTTTTGCGATTGCCGGCAGGCCTCGCTCCCTCATCCCCACCAACAGCATTGTGTTCCCTGTAGTAGCCATAAGGACCAACCTGAAAGGGTGGAGCTCCAGAGTCCAGGCCCAGATAGGTGCAACCATCCAGAGGAGGTGTCACATGCAACTGTAGAAGTTTCTCGGCCACGGGGCGGCTAAAGAACACCGGGCCTGAAACCTACGTGCCCACAAGTTGAATCACCTCGCACCACACAAATGTTACTTTGTGTATATGTGTGTGTGTGTGTGTGTGTGTGTGGCCACACAAATGTTACTTTGTGTGTGTGTGTGTGTGTGTGTGTGTGTGTGTGTGTGTGTGTGTGTGTGTCACCAGAGGCACTTTTCCATCATGCATCAGCGCTTGCTGGATGTGTTCTGGGCTTCCCTTGTAGATGATGTCCCTGATGTGACCCTGCAACGACAAATAAACACTTTCGGACGCAATGTCAAACATCCACACAGTCAGGAACATCTGCCAAACGGGCCAAGATCTCGATCAAGTTTCCTCTCACCTTTTGGTCACTCAAGTAGACACCATGATTGACGGCGTACGACACGTCACCGGGGAGCGCCAGAGCACGAACACCTGAAAAGCTGTTCCACGACAGCACTAACACACACGCATACAGATGACGTTGACAAACGTTGCTGTCGCGCAGACGAATATGCAGACGTGCCGTCCGTGTTTTTCGGACCGAAGTTTGCTGGCACGGTGAACGTCATGTCCGTGCTGCACACCCAAACGCCAGGAGGAGACCCCGGGCAAACCTGAGAGAACGACAACAGGAAGACACAAAATGACACTCGCACACACGCACATATACACACAGTGTATGTACACGCGCGCGGACCTGTTGAGTAAGATGGCTGAGCAGCACATCCAGGCAGCAGATGGGGGCCTGAACCCCGAGGGCGGGATCCTCCACAGGCAGCCACGAGAATGCTCGGCTGCACGAACTCCACGGGAAGGCGCGACCCTGG